GCGCCATCAAAGGCCTGCGAGAAGGCTGTGGGGCAACACACTTCTAATGACAAGTAATTGACGGATTGGAGGCCGCGCATTACCAGCAAATCTGGAAGGCATTAAATATTTAAAAACGATTAGCCTCTCAGTGTCCTGCAGGCATTCCATTTTGCTCAGGAGAGATAACCAGCCACTCGAGCTAAAGCCGGGTGTTGGAGGGCGACGGTCTTGCTAGCCAGCCAGGAAAAGAGGGAAAAGAGCAATCAGGTTCTCCACACATACAGGGACCCACAAAACACTGTCCGTTACCAAACACGGAACTGATTTCTGCCCACTTGGGTTCCAGATCTGGCGATTGCGGCGCATTCATGAAGAGGTTTACAGTTGCGGGTGGAAGGCTAGGGCTATTTCTATGGGCCAGGCACTTACCGCGTCCCACTGCCCAGTGAAATAATCAGAAAAACCGAGCCGGCCGGCTACCACGTCAGCTTTCGAGACATTTAAAGCAAAAACCCCACGGAGAAGTCACATTTTGAACTGGGGAGAGGCATCTGGTAGACCCTTGGGGAGAGATACCTTTTCTGTACCCTGCCCAAGAAAGACGGGGGCCCTGAGGTTTCCAACAGACAGCAGCGGCACTACTAGTTTTCCGACGCCGCGCCTCCCCGTGGGCGTCTGGTAGACAAACAGTCGGTTCTGTTCTGTATTTCCAATTCGCAACCTCCGGCTCTGGAACACAAGTTCCGCGTTCCCGGGCGCTGCTCCCCTCTAATCAGGACCAGCCGCGACAGGAAGGATTCTCGGGAAAACAGGGGGCTGGGTTGCGGGGTAAATAGGTCTAGAAACGACCTGGTGAGCAGTTTCTGCCTTAATGTCCTGTTCCCATTTCTTAAGCCAGAAACCTTAAGAACCTGCCTGCGACCGCGTGCGCCCGTGCGTAAGGGCCATCAGCCGCTGCTGCTTGGGGCAAGAGTGAATTTCAGTTCACTCAATTGTGGGAAAAGGAGGTTTCCAACGCAGCGAGTTTCGGGCAATATGCACCGTAAGCTCCCGCGTGGCGCCGAGCCCACTGCAGCCGCGGCCTGACGGATGACCCCCCTGGGCGCTTCCCCGTGTTGTTGTGGGGGTGAGCGCCGCCACACTCCGGACTCTGCCTCAAGGACCACCGGCACCCTGCTTGTCGTTTCCTGCTGACTCTCATCCCAGATTCTAAATCCAAAGGCGTTCTTCCTCCAACCCTGTCACTGTCCTTGGAAAGCAAGCGGCCTTCAGATCAATTCCCCAGCCCTGAGCGGCTTCAGGGACCAGTCGTGGTTTCCGGTAGCCACCTCCTCAATTTTGGGAACCCACCAAATGCCCTTTCAACTATATTTAGATACCAGGCGCAGTCTGAGTTTGCAATTTTTAGTCCCCCCATCCTTCCACAACCTTCATTTGCTAAAATGCAACATAGCAAGCCCCCAGGCTCTTCACTGGTTCAGTGAGGAGCACCTTCATCTCCTAACCCGCCCAGGCGTCGGAGCCCTTGGAAGGGAGAAGCACTGGCGGGGGACTGGGGGGTGGAGGGTGGGGAGAGTCACGCAGACGCTGCCGCGGGAGCCGGGCGCAGACCCGAGTGGGCGCGCTCCTACCTGCGCCGGCGGGCGGCGGCGGCGGCGGCGGCGACCGTCCAGCGAGCGTAGGGAGGCGGCCGACTGCTCGGAGCCGAGGCATCCCCGCATTTATTTGAGCTCAAACCTAGCGACTGTTGACTTTAGCACACAAAGCAAAGATTTCACTGCCCGCTAGTTTAAAAATGAATATTTTACCAAGATATTGATCAGCGTTATAAAATTCAGTTAAGTACAATGGGTTCCTGGCAAAAAAAAAAAAAAAAAGAATAATAAAGGAGGGGGAGGCAATATAATATCTGTGCAAATTTGCTGAAGTGTGACGTGGCATGGGAAGTTTACCCTCCTGGAATTCGGATCTAGAGTGTTTTTTTCGGTTGTTTACTGACTTTGTTTGTTCACAGATCACGGTTGCTTAAACCAGCGCGCAGAAGGCGCGGTGTAAAGGAAGAAAAAGAGAGGGGGCAAAAGAAAGGCTACTCCCCGCAACACGTAGAGCTGGGGCAGCGGGCGGAGGGCGAGCTGTGGGCGCGTCGGCCGGGAGCCCGAAGGGGGAGGGGAGGAGTGGCGGGGGGCGGGAGGCGAAAGACACAGGACAGGCAGAAAAGCTTCGGAAAGCGCCCCGCTCCCCGACATCCTTTTAATGTATTCGGGCAGAACTACATCTTATCGCCCCGGATCAGTTGAGGGGGGTGCGCTAAGTAGTTTAAATCGACCCATGCACAATGGACGTACGATACTAAACATAGCAGGTTAGAGCAGCGCTTTCAGCGCCCATTGTCCCCCTCAGCCCTCGGCCCTGCCTCTAGGCTTCTTCGCCACGGGAGCCTTTTATGTGATAATGAAACACATTTCAGGCCAGCCTCACGACGTGTGTGTCCTCGCCAGGGGGGAGAAACGGCCCTGATTGCTGACTTCGGCCTCCGGATCCCCCCCTACCCCCCCAACCCATTTCTCTTCCTTGTGTTCTGCGGGACAATGTGGCACGCTAAGAGGGGATTTGGAGGGGGGGAGGAGGCAAAAACCTCCTTCAAGCGCGTGGGAAGGCCAGGGTTTGGAAGGACAGGAACCCCGAAAGGTGGAAGAGAGCTATGCAGAGGGAGTCTTTAGGGCTGTGGCGCAGCTGGAACCCTTCAGATTTGGATGGTCCATAAACGCGAAGACCTAGTGCAGGAAATAGGAATCAGGGATTAGAAACCTGGCCTGAAGACCTTCAAGGCTTCTTACCCACTGCTAGCTAGCTGCGCACGGGAGGGGTCCCTAGTCTGCAGGATTCTGAAGGTCACTGTTTCCTACCCTTGGAAAAGCCAACCTGCAGGCCAGCAGATGCCTGGGGGCAAAGCCACCGCCGGTTCCCTTCAGCAAGAGACCATGTCTGCTAGCGTTACTATGGCCGTTGCCCGAGGATTTAGGGCTGCTCGGCCGTCTGACGGGAGCGCGGTGGCTCCATATGAAAAGTACTGGACTGCGAATCACTGGGTTCGCGGTTTGAGCCTGCCAGCTGCTCCTTAGGGTGAAAGATGAGGCTTCCCGCTCCCGCAAAGATTTGATACCTCTGAAATCCTATGTAGGGTCGCTATGAGTCAGAACCGACTCCATGACACTTAACAGAGGGTCTGGGAGAGGCAGTCAGATGTATAGGAATTTATTCTCTGTCTTTGTCCTTTCGAATTTTCTTTAAAATCTTACAAAATACCCCCTCATCTCTTTGGTTTGCAACCCTGGCTTGCCAACCTGACCTTCCTGGGAGGATAGGGCGCTTTGCAAGGGCATGAAAGTGTGGGTAGGCTAGTGGTGAGTAAGTCTCCAGGCTTGGAGAGAGTGTGTGTGTGTGAGCTAAGAGATTGCTATATTGTTCAGTATCATGAAAACCCATTTACATCCACCCCACCCTCACATATACCTTATTTTAGCATTAATTCAAGGAGAGGCTCTTCTAAATGTTTCCCAGGCCAGGTGATAGAGGGGACACTACCAGCAGCCTCACTATTCTTGATCTACAGCATGGCTAACAGGGCACCTTGAAGTGTACACAGAGGCCTGAGACAGTAGGGTCGAGATGCTATCCTCTCAGGAGGGTAAAAGTGTACAGAGCAGTGAAAACGCAGTTCACAGCACCAGAAGTTTGAAAAGCCAGCCTAGAACTCACTTGATGGAAGGCTAAGCTTGGGCAGGCAGCCAGAACACATGCAATCTGTATTCTCTCAAGAACCAAATACGAGGCCTTACACCAGTACAACTTCAATTGGTCCAGTGGAGTTCTGAGAATGCAGATATGTGGACAGAGGCTTTCTCCTGGCTTCAACCCATGGCATGGTCCATACAGGATCTGAGTGTTCCATTTGTATGTAAAGTGTAAAATGTAAAGTGTAAAATGGAACTGTAGACAACATTGAGCTCTGATTAATGGTGCACATGTTGAAGGATTCTGGAAGAAGTACACTAATGCCAGCAACTTTGTTTGAAATGCATTAAAAAATAATTTTGATTGATGGAGAGGTGAATAAATGTACAGGAAAATGTTAATTGTAGAATTGAGACTGTGGGTCAATTTGTGTTCACTGTAAATTATTTCAACTTTGTTATGTTTGAAAAGGTTTATAATCAAATTATGGGAAAAACAGCACTTTCTCCCAGTAAAATAAAGCCTGCAATCAACCGTCCAAGGCTTCCCTCTCTGCTCTAAGTAATTTCCAGGCCTGTTTATATTATAAGTTGGCTAAACTGGGCTGAGGAGTGGGTGGTGGTGGTGGATAATTTTTAAGAAAAAATTCAAAGGATAAAATCATCAATAACACTTTAATATAGATTTGTGGCTCTCTGACCCTGCAGCCAGAATACACATTTATTAGCCATAAATAAAGCACACAGAAACTATAAATTAACCATACCCCCAGACCTGGATTTCACCGTGTCAAGAATGGGAATGCACTTTTTTTTTTTTTCTTGGCCATTTACAACAGATCTTTACATCATTTTTTTTTTCTCTTTTAAAACAATAGTACAACTCTCTGGTTTTCTGTTTAAACTACATGGTTTTACACCGAGTCACTCACACATTTTTTTTTTTTTAATTAAGACTTCCCTGCAATAACAGCAATGAAGAACATCAAAAAGTCAGGATCTGCAGGTGCTTAAAGAAGCAGGAGTCTATGCAGTAGTGGAGATAAGAGGGGTTTTTGTGTTTTGTTTTTGTTTTTGACTTTTTATCTTTTCCCTCTTACCCTCCTCATAAGATAGGTGTCCAGGTGGCCCATCTTATTAGACAATAGGAACGGACTGCTGTCCTGGAGGCAGAGTGTAATGAATTTCTCTCCCCCCCCACCCCATCTCTCCAACAATTCCTCCCCCCAGCCTCACTTTCTTTCTCTTGTCCTTGCCCCTAGGCTACCACAGCCACCCTTCTTCTTAAGAGGAGTTCATAATGGGCCGGGCGTACACTCCCTGGTAGTAGGAGGTGTCTGCAGCCAGAGGTGAGGCGTCCAGGCCCGCTTTGTTCGTGACTGGACCCATGGCCAGGCTGCCGGGCATTGGAGACCCGTAGCCGGGGTAGTGCATCACCTGTTCATAGGCCTTGAGGTCCATTTTGTGTGGCTGGTGGTGGTGGTGGCTGTGGTGGTGTTGTTGCTCTGAGGACATGAGGTTGTTGATGGAGAAGGGGTGGTTAAAGGCGTAGTGGTGTTCCGGCTTAAGATGGGCCTCGGGGGGCAGGCCCGGATGGTGAGGTGGGCCTAGTAGGTGGGCCGCGGTCTGCTGCTGTTGTTGCTGCCCCGGCGAGGGCGCTGGCTCCGGGGGACTCAGCGCTGTGGCTGGCGTCCCTTTTAGCTCTCCCAGGGACCCTCGCTTGTGCTCTTGGCACGGGGAGGCGCTCGAGTGGGGCGACTCGGTGCCTGCCGGAGTCTCGGAGGCCGACCCGGCGGCCTCCCCTAGCTGACCCTGCGAGGCCTGGGCCCCAGCGGCTGCTTTCTTGTTCCCGCCCGATGCGCCCGACGCCTCCTTCAGAGTCAGCTGCTTCTCGCACTTGAAGCGCTTCTGGCGGCGCAGGTAGCAACCGTTCTCGAACATGTTGCCCGAGTCAGGGTGCAGTGTCCAGAAGGAGCCCTTGCCAGGCTTGTCGGGCGAGCGCGGCACTTTGAGGAAGCAGTCGTTGAAGGAGAGTGAGTGGCGGATAGAATTCTGCCAGCGCTGCTGGTTCTGCCTATAGAAGGGGAAGAGGTCCATGATCCACTGGTAGATCTCGCTCAGCGTCAGCATCTTGTTGGGGCTCTGTTGGATGGCCATGGTGATGAGCGAGATATAGGAGTAGGGCGGCTTGGCGTGTGTATAACTTCGGCGGTAAGTCTTGGGGTCGCGCGCGCGGCTCAGACCAGCCTGCCCGTACATGGGGCTCATGGAGTTCATGTTGGCGTAAGGAGCCAGGCTGCCCATCGCCCCGGCCCCTTGCCCCCCGAGTGGGCTCAGGCTCGGGCTCAGATGTGGCCCCATGCCCGCCACACCGGCCGCCCCAGCCGAACCACCCATGCCCGCCATGGCGCCCGCGCCTGGGGACATGCCCGCCAGGGACGGGCTCATGCCCGCTCCCACATACGACGACATGTTCATGGAGCTGGTGCTCATGTTGCCTGCGCCGCTGCCCATTGCGGTCGCCGACATGCTCATGTATGTGTTCATGCCGTTCATCCCCAGGCCCGCGTTCATGTTGCTCACCGAGGAATAGCCCTGCGGATAGAGCCGAGAAGGGGAGAGCACAGGTTAGCACCGCGCTCCAGCGCACCCAGACCTCCCACCCGCCTTCCAGCGCGGGGCCCCTGCCTTGCGAAGGCCTCCCGGGAAGCCCTTCTCTGTCTCTCTCTCTCAGTGTCCCTCTCTCTCTCTGTCTCTCTCAGTTCGCCGTCCCGGGCGCCGAGTCCGTTCCCTAAGAGCGCGCCCGGATGGCCCTTGGGAGGTGGCGAGCCGGATACTGCTCTGTGTTGGTGGCCCATTCCTAGCTCTTTTGCGCCTCGCCCAGATTCTGTAACAGGGGTTCTCCGGAGCACTCCAAGTCAGGCACTCCAGATTGCTCCCTGCCCCAGAGCCTCTCAAACTTCCCTGCCAGTAGGCAGAGCCGGAGCCCGGCCACAGGGAGCAACCTGCCAGACACAGCACAGGGCACACCGGCCAGGCTCCAGGGGAGACTTTCCCAGGAGCCCCTCAGTGCTTGGCCCTGGGGAACCAAAGCGCGGAGTTTAGGGTTGCCCAAAGGGGCAACAGGAAGGGAGCAGCGATCTGAACCATACGCGCTTGCGCTTGGGAACCACAAACTTTTCTTTTTGTTCCTGCATCTTTCCCTGTGTGCCTTCACCTCACCCCCAGTGCCTACCCACCTTCTCCACTCAGCCCCCACCCCACCCCCGAGGCCGGCCGACCTCCCAACCCCTCCCCAGTCGCGCACTGCCAAACAGAACTGTTAGGATAGTGTGTGGCTCGGCCACGAAGAGGATTTGGAGGCGCCGCAAGTCAATATTTGATCACAAAGTTAATATTATCTCAAGGCTAACAGTGTGTCGTATAAAAAAGAGACCCATATGAGTAGAACGCGGGAAGCACAGGAGAGTGCCCGGAGCGACTGGGGGCGGGGACGGGGGGCCGGCGGGGAAGCGGTTCTGAATTTGGGGAAGACGTACACGCCGCCTCCCCGCTGCCCGCTGGACAAGGCGAGTGCCTACCTCCGGCTCGGCATAGTAGCTGCTCCAATCCGACGGCTCGTGCCCTTCCATCTTCACCGCTCCCAGCATACTGGAAGCCGAGTGCATGGCAGTTTAAAATTTAACAGCCACAACAAACGACCAAGCAGTCCCCCTCACCCCCACCCTCTTAAAAAAAAAAAAAAAAGTGTCAGTCCGGCACCGTCCCTCCCTCCCACCTCGCGCTCCCAGCTCGCAGCTCCACTCCCTTTCTCAGCAGCCGGAGGCGGTAGTTGGAAGTGGGCGGGAGGAGGGGGCCTAGTAGGGGCGGAGGCCGAGCCGAGCCCTGCTGCTGGGAGGGAGCGCCCGCCGCCGCCGTCGCCGCCGCCGTTGCGCTCGCCCGCTGCCGGGTGGAGACCGAGTGGACAGTGACGCCTAGCTGCCCGGAGGCGGCGGGAAGCGCGTGCGGGCGGGGCGGGAGGAGGAGGAGGTGCAGCCCGCGGAGCCGACAAGTGCCGCAGTGACGTGGGCGCCGAGTGATATAGCGCGGCGCGCCGGGGCGACCTCCAATCCCCAGACCCCAACAGCCTATTTGAATAATCAGCTCACACCTAGGTGAGAGGAGCTCTCCGGCGCCCGCACCTGCCCTGCGCGCCGTCTGTCGAGGGGAATGGGGCTGTCCTCAGGCACGCGGAACTCCAGAGTCACTCCGGTCGTCTCCCGGGCCCGTGGGGACTTCTGGAACTAGGAAGTGAGGTGGGAGAAGGCCACCTGGGATCAGCCTAGAGCACAGACCCCGCCGGATTCCCAGGGCCATGCGCCAGAGGGTGTGCGTTGTGGAGCGCCGGCAGCGTCCGTGCCCGCTACCGCTCGAAAGACCTAACAAAAGCCGTATTGAGTTAGTCCAGATTTCTTCTATGTCGAAGCTCCATCCCTGTGAAAACATCAATCCAATCGATGACAGAGCCAATTTACAAAGCTCTGACTTACTAGAAACGAAACAAAAAACTGCACACACTTTTACCTTGGCGTTCGCGCCTCCGAGAAAGCCCCTCTCGGCAAGCGAGCCTAGCGCGCATAATTCGACCGCTTCGGCGTTCCGCCTCCTCGGAGTCCGGCCCTAGGCGACCCGTTGAGCGGCAGCCGGCGGGTGGGAGCTCTGCCAGATGCGGTCGACAGTTGGGAGACTGCGATTTGTCTCTGACATTCAGGCCGGCGTGTTTCAAGGTTACTTTTCAGTCACAACTGCGGTGCCCACAGTTTCGTAACTAAAACAAACAGGACGGGTGGTGGTGGTGAAGAGGCACAAGCGAATCAATAATAGGACCTATGAGATCGACTTCAGGAGGATCTGGGTCCTCTCAGCGCGCCAAGGGGCTGTTTCATATCAAAAAATGTAGAAACCCCAACAATTTTAGACTTCTGTTTTATTCCACCTCCAGCTCATGGGTCCAAAGATTGTCATCTGTCCTGCGTTGGCCACCAAAATCTCGATGAGCCTGGACTAGGAGGTGAGGGACAATGTTACAGGTGTCTGGACTCGGAAGGCCTAGGTTCTGAAATCCCGGCTGAGCCTCCCCCTCCGCTTCGGAAATGATGGGCCCCTGACCTATAGTCCAACTGTCCTAGCTGTGGTGAAGAGAGTAGAGGACAGAGGCAAGTGACAGGTCACTGAACATTGAGAAAGACAGCACTGGACAGGGGGTTGATTGGAAAGGGAGCCAGAAGGAACACGCAGATGTAGGGGAAATATTACTCCTTCTAGGCCAGGCCCAACCCGTGGCCTCTGGACTTGCAGAGCTTTGGACCAGGGTGAGGGAACGTCCCCCACCCCGAGTATAAGGACGGCGAAATCATTTGGTCTGGGCCTGCCAAGGCAACCGCAGTTCCAACCATTACATTAGGGGTGAGTTAATTAAACGTTTGACCAAATATAGCCGGCAAATTTTTAAGTTGGTAATTTTGTATGGCTGCAAATGATGTTATACGTTTTGGCAGAAGCAACAACTCCTGCTTTAGACCTAAGATACAGCCATTGCCAGCGTTCTTTCCTGTGGACATCTATGGTTTGGCCAGTTTATAGCGAAGGCATTAACAGATCTATTGAGCGAGTGCCAGAGACCCAATACATCTTCTCCTGGACTGTGACCTAGGGTAGAGACAATTTTACCGCTTTCCTGAGGGCCTGAGAAAGGATACTCATTGGATACCCCAAAAGAAAACTCGCCTATTTTTCAAAGCTTCTCGTATAGGCCAGAGTAGAAACGTAGCCTCCGCCCCCAAAGCGCGCGCGCACGCGCGCGCGCGCACACACACACACACACACACACACACACACACACACGCAAACCACACTGTCTATGCCCTCTCTTCCTTCTTCTTGCCTTTCGAGTTGGTTTAGCTACCATATATAGGGCTTCTGAGGGCTTCTGACCTTGCGATTAGCAGCCCAGTGATTATCCTATATCGACACACCAGGAACCTTCATGCCCTTTGCTAGTGGGAACATCGACTGGACCTAATTGTTGTTGTTCTTGTTAAGTGCTGTCGAGTCGGTTCCGACCCATAGTGACTCTGTATAGGGTTTCCGAGGAGAGGCTGGTGAGATTGAACCGCCGAATTTGCTGCTCAAACTGACTTTGCAGTCCAGCGCAACAACCCACAATGACTCATAAATAACCATGAGCACTTCTCAGTAGAAAATAAACGGCAAAAGAGCAAATTAATCCACGAGACATCCCACAAACAGGCAACTTTCTGGTGTGTCTGGAATAGAAAACTCTGAAGAATACTCTGGTTAACCTAGTTTGTGAGTGTGGGTATGTAATAGTGTTTGCGAACGTATGCGTTTCCTCAGTCTGTTCTCTTAATTGCTCCTGGTTGAAAATACGATTCTAGAAGTAATTCTATCAACAAAGGCACCATCACAAGAGCAGGCCACGAAGACCGTCCCATCTTGCGCTGCTGTCCCATCCCTCAGCCCCTGCCCCACACGCCCGAACTCCTATCCCCACCCCACCTCCATCCCAGCCGCCAACGCCCAGTAGCTGCTTGCGCCGTGGGATTTTAGGTCCCGCCGAGCCTTAGGCACGGGTTTGTTTCCACAGTGACTGTGCGCCCCCTGTAGGCTGCGCTGCCCGCAAGGTCTACCTTTGCCCGCCTTTACGTCCAGCACCTTTTCTCCAGCTCTCCTAGCAGACCTGACATGTCTTGGCGTTTCTCTGATCTTTCTGCACAAACACAAGCTGGTCTGTCCGGCAGTTCCGGTCGCCAAGGGGAAGTTGGAACCGCCTGGGATTCGCTTTCCTCCCTTAACTCGGCGGTTTGGGGGAGCTGTTAACCTGTCCCTGCATACACACACCCACACCCCAATCCCACCTCCCACCTTCACCGGGTCTCGGCATCTCTGATTTCCAAACGTTTACTCGGAGTTTCTGGCACGAAAAATTCAAGTTGAAATACTGTGCTTTGCTTCCTAAGCTTTTCTCCAAGAAAAAGTTCGCTTGTCACTTTGGCTGCAAACAAACCTTCTCTACCCCCCCCCCCACACACACACACACACTAATTTTAACCCCATTTAGAACAGAGCCCTACAAGGTACAAAAGTTTTATTTGCCTGCTTCCTCCCGTTCTTCCAGAACCTAGGTGCTACCTCATTTCTTTAGAAAAGCAGTTTTAGTGCACCAACGACTGTGTTTGGATTAGCGCGATGTTTTCATTCTCCTTGTAGCCACAACCGCAAAGGAAATTTATGCTCAAATCAAGGCCTCTTCTGCTCTCTCTGGGAAAAGACATTCTGATCCCACACCTCTCAGCAAAACTTCTCCCTTTGAAGCTCTCTTCTTCGTTTCAAACTAGCTGGTGGTGAAGTGGACAGCAGTGATAACTCCTATGATTGTCAAGGGGAGAAAAGAAGCCCCATTCTTACCAGAGTTTCCAGTGATCCTGTTTAGGGCATCATAGCCAGGTCTGCAGGTGAGATTATGGCTGAAGAGATGGAAAGGTGACTTAAAGTCTTGCAATAATTTATATTTTATTTTCGAAGAAGCTTTTGACATGGTAGAAGTCAGACATCCACATCTTCCATATTAACAGGGTGCAATTCTCAGGGGGAAGTCTAAGTCTGTATTAAAGGAAAGGTATATACTTGTGTGAAAGGCTACAAACAATATTTCACTTTCTACTGGTGGTGGTGGTGTGCCTTGGAGTCGGTTCCGACTCATAGTGACCCTGCTTAGGGTTTCCGAGGCTGTAAATCTTTATGGAAGCAGAAAGCCTCATCTTTCTCCTGCGGAACTGCTGGTAGTTTTGAACAGTTGACCATAAGGTTAGCAGCCCAACTCGTTGTTATTTCTGAAATTTAGTTTTGAAAAATTATACCATCAATTTTTGTTGTTGTTGGTTTCTGTAGTTTTATAGAGCAGGCAAGTGAAAAGGTAGCTAGTTCAAAACATCTCAGAAGATTTCTGTGAAGGAATGAAAAAAGATGCCGTGTGTCCCAAACTTCTGCAAAAACATAGGAAAGATGTGATAAGCAAGAAAGACTGTGGTAAATGTCATATAAAAACATACCTGCATACAGTATACCTATCTATCTTGTCCAAAGTGCACAAGAAAATAAATAATGAATAAGAAAATAAATACATTGCTAATATTCTTGACTATGTTTGGTGGTAGATTTATGTCTTCAGTCTCTACTTTGCTGCAATAATATAGTATGACCATATAATTTTATATCGTTATTACTATATTGTTTTCCATTATTTTATAGTCATAATGTAATAATATTGGATCTTACGCCATGGAAACCACAGCAGAGTAACTTTAACAAACTTTGGAATAGTTCTCCATATATTAAAGGAGATCATCAAAGCCACCATTCAAAGTGACAAAGGGTTTGAGTTTTGAAAAATAAGGCAATATTATTTTTTCTACCATATCAGGATGGAGTGTGTTCAATCACAGGTAGAAACTGCCCAGATAGCTATGGTAGAGAAAGGAGAAAGACTGGGACAGCGGGTGTTATGATAAAATTTTTTTTACCTATTTCTCTATGCAGGTATAATGTGATTATTGTATTATTGGAAAGGTTCCATTTTCATTACGCGTTGCTCATCTTGAACATGCTT